GGTGAGGGAGGGAGTCGGGGGGGAGGACAGAGTGATTTAAGGCCGACTGCTCCTCTCCTCTCCTCTTATCCATGCCCTGCTTCTTTCATGTCTCAGACCGTGGGTCAAACTGCCTGTTGCCCCAGCTGGTGCTGTCCATCTGGTGCTGCCCTCTACAGGATGTAACCCCTCCCCACACCCCTCCTCCCCCCACTCAGCCCCACCTCTGCAGAGCTGTACTCACTTAATTGATTTCAGGGGAGAGGGTTTATATATACACACATACACACACCGCCGGCCAACAACCAGTGCCCACTGCACACACACACACACACACACACACACACAGACACACACGCGGCCGGCGCTGTGTGCTGTCAACGCTAATTCAATTTGAGACGCGGTGGTGTGACTAACAGCAGCCCTGCAGAGTGTTTCACCATATGCATGTGCTCATCACACACACACACACACACACACACACACACACACACGCTGCCTCGTCCACAGTATAAATAACTGTTAGTCTAATTCCATGAGTCCTTTCCTCGGCTCCTTCCATCCTTTCCTCATTAGGAGGCTCCTTCACCTCCTCCACTGACAGACACGTGTGAAGATCAGACATCAGGCAAACTTATGGCCCGGGGACCGGATGTGGCCCATTCAGCTTCCTAATCCGGCCGGCCGAGCTTGTCCAAATTATATAATCGATTCATTGATTATCGTTATGCTTCTGTCTATTCCCTGCAATGCCCACATTTGCCCAGTAGATGGCGTAAAAAAAACTAAAAGTATTTTAGCCTTTATGCATTAATCTTTCATGTCATTTATCGTAGTTCACATGAACGCTCCATCTATCTGCTCCTCACCCCCTGTTCAATGTTAGGACAATTGTTGCCTGCAGGTCAAAGGTTTGCCCAGGCCTGAGCTAAGGCGTCTAATTTACATCTGAACATAAAACCAAATATTCTAAAGGTCAAAAAGCATTTCCAGTTCTGCGTGTGTGCTACTGTGTCTTGTTTGTGTGTCGTTTCCAGACAAATGCACCTGTCTTCTTCTCAGGGGCAAACATTGGAACAAACAAATGTGTCAGAGTGCAGCATGAAAATTCTGGAGTGCACAGAGAAGAGTCTCTGGGAGCATGGAGGAAATATGATGGTCTGCCTCTTTCTGCTGACTCGTGGACTCTCTTCCCGTCATTAGACTGTCAACAGATTTGTCTTCAGAACCTCATTTGGAGCTGGTTCCTCCACCAAGAGCACTGGGGATTCATCATGCGTGATGATAAGCTCAAACAGTCTCTGGGCGTTTTACTGCGAAAGAAGCCGAAGCAAAATAAACCAAAACACGCTCAACATCAAATTAAATGATAACTCTGTGTTTACAGAGTTTTTCTGCTTCAATAGTTTCATAAGCGGAGATGAAAACAGACACTTTGATAAAAGAGTAATCATTCATTACATTATATTCAGGCACCTTGTTTGAGAACAGCAGTGATTTTATGCTGGTGTTTTACACACGTATCCCTGCAGACAGGAAGTAAACAGACACAGAGAAACTCTGCTGCACATAAAGACAGAGCCTGGACTTGTGTCAGGTGACTGTTTGTCATCTCTGATTTTCTGCCCCTCACTGTTCATTGGTTACTTTGCATTTGCTGATGCACACAGGAGGTCAGACGTACCTGAGTCTGTGGAGCGCAGGGATGGACGGGGCCAGCTGTGGTGGCGCGTGTGTGTACGTGTGTGTACGTGTGCGTACGTGTGTGTACGTGTGTGTACGTGTGCGCAGGAGGCAGTAAAACTGATTAAAAGCAGCATTAACACATCTGACAGGAAGCAGTGGTCAAGGGGTGAGTGGAAACTGGGGGGAAGTGTTTAAGTGGAACGATTAGACACAGACACAGACACTGACACACACACACACGCACAGACAGCAGCAGACAGAGAGCGGGGGAAAGCCCTGGGCGGCGGCGATTGGTCACACATGCCCGTGGACATCCGAGTAGAACCAATCAGCTCAGCTTCCTGTGTTTGACCTGACCTTTCACGGATGTTAATTGAATATCCCAAACAGGGATGGGGGGTGTCGGGGGGTGAGGCGGGGGGGGGAGGGGGGAGGGAGGGGGGT